TTTATTTGTGGTAAACTCTTAGGAACATGCCTGGCATTTAGGAATCACAATTGAACAGTTGCTATTACTTTTTTTTGTCTAAAACAGAATCCATAAATATACTGTTTTTGATATTATATAGATCTAATTCACACTCATATTTTTAATGTAAAATTGAAAGATACATAAATATAACTAAAGCTTTTGTGCTTGTTCTCACCAAATACATTTTAAAAAGTTTATACACATCCTATTTTACTTTTTTAAATAAAATATTTCAAGTACATCGAATTCAATTGTTGGGAAATGCAGCTGGACTTTTTTCTTACTTAACATAGGGTAATGCAGTTTGCTTTAAGCTAGGAAGCCAAATTATGCTAGCCAGAACCAAGTTTTTACTCCTCAAATAAGGATAATAACTGAATGGCCAGTGTGACACAGGGAAGAGGACTTATGACGGCTGTTGGTGCTGGCCCCCGACAAAGCTGGTGTTCTTTTCTCTTTGTCTTTAGTGTCTTATCTTCCTTTGGGTGTCTAAGGGTCTTTTACATCTCGTGAGTCTTCCAATACCCACCTTCGGATGTCTGGCCAGACCGTGTGTCTCCCCAGAGTCCTGGACTTTCAATGGGGGCAGCTGACAGCTAAATATTTTTCATGTTGATTCTCTAATTCAGTCATTCTTAGGTGTGAAATACATTTTCAAGGTTTAGTTTCTTTTGAATAAAGTAGTTTGTTAATCAAGTGAATCTCCAATTGACTGGGGAGCATTTTTAGATGGGGGCAGTCCTTGGTTTTGATAAGTTACTTTGCTCCTGGCTGGGCTTAGTGGCTCATGCCAGTAATCCCAGCACTTTGGGAGGTCAAGGCTGGTGGATCACCTGAGGTCAGGAGTTTGAGGCCAGCCTGACCAACATGGTGCAAACCCATCTCCAAAAATACAAAAATTATCCAGCCATGGTGGTGGGCTTCTGTTATCCCAGCTACTCGGGAGGCTGAGGCAGGAGAATGGCTTGAACCTGGAGGGTAGAGACTGCAGTGAGGGGAGATCGCACCATTGCACTCTGGCCTGGGTGACAAGAGTGAAACTCCATCTCAAAAAAAAAAAAAAAGAAAGAAAGTTCCTTTGCTCCCCATCCTTTGTTCTTGGAAGACAGAGATCCTGCCTTTTACCCTCATACCTCACACCAGGCAGCTGCTTGTGCCAACCACTCATAATATGCTGGGTGCCATCGTGGCACAGTACATCAGCGAGGTGTTCTAAAGCACTGTGGGAGCTTTAACAAATTTATGTTAAGTAATAACTAGGTGCTGGTGCTGCATTGTGTTACTTAATCTTTACAATAACACAGTTAATTAGGTCCCACAGTTTTCTGAATTTCATCAATGAGGAACTAGCAACAAAGAGGATATAACCAATTTGGCGCAGGTGCCAAGCCCAAAGACCAATCACACATTTCAAAATTTGCTTACGTTTATTGTGCACTTACTATGTGCCAGGTGCAATGCTAGTCCTTTGCATGAGTTGTTCCATTTTACCCTTTCTCTGATCCTTTGAGGTAGGTTATAGTACTACCTTCCTTTTTCAGAAGAGAAAACCAGTGGGGAGCGTTGAAACAATTTGGTTGCAAGCATGCTACACAACTTGTAAACTGCAGACCCAGCCTTAAAAAAAAAAAAAGTGAAAAGTCACTACATAATAAAGAACGGGCCAGTGCAGTGGCTCTCACCTGTAATCCCAGCACTTTGGGAGGCCAAAGCAGGCAGATCATGAGGTCAAGAGATTGAGACTATCCTGGCTAACACAGTGAAACCCCGTCTTTACTAAAAAAACAAAAGTTAGCCAAGTGTGATGGTGTGTGCCTGTAGTCCCAGCTACTTGAGAGGCCGAGGCAGGAGGATCGCTTGAACCTGGGAGGCAGAGGTTGCAGTGAGACAAGATTGCGCCACTGCACTCCAGCCTGGGTGCCGCCTGGGTGACAGAGCGAGTCTCCATCTAAAAAAAAAAAAAAAAAAAAAAAAAAAAAAAGACTTAATCATGAAGGTGTTTCTGTGGCCAGTCATGTTTTTGAAGTATATCTCATGTTAATTTCTAGAACAGAAGAAACACGTGTATTCTTGTGTATAAACCCAGTCCATGGAAGACACAGTCTCGTAGTCCCTCCTTATTTCTGGACCCAGACAACCAGTCATCGCCATTCCCAGTGAGGAGTGGCTGCAACTCTACAGCCGCGTTCGTCTCTACTCACCGTCAAAGCTACTGAGACCCCAGACTTGACACCTGAAAGAAACCCATGTCTGTGAATCACTTTCAGAGCACTCAAGATTGTGGAGGAATCACTCAAGAAAAGGAGATAGGCAATGGGATCTAGCTCTGATGATTCCTATTTTATTGAATGTCTAATAGGGCAAGAATCTGAAAAACAAGAAAGTTTGCCATGCAGGAGGAACTGGGAAAGAGATAATGCATTCTCCTCCCAGTTCGCAGGGATGAAGATTGGGATTCAGTTGGGAAGAGTAACTGAGGAAAGGGGTCACTCTAAGTATTGTGTGTTTTAGGGCCTTTTTCTATTAAGGAGGAATGGATTGTCAAAACGTTAACATTACATTGTATTCTGTCAGGTGAATTGCTGTGGTTTGAATATGGTATGTCCTCTCCCAAACTAATATTGAATTTTTTTTTTTTGAGATTGAGTCTTGCTCTGTCGCCCAGGATGGAGTGCAGCGGTGGGATCTCTGCTCACTGTAACCTCTGCCTCCCGGGTTCAAGTGATTCTCCTGCCTCAGCCTCCCCAGTAGCTGGGATTATAGACATGTACCATCATGTCCAGCTGATTTTTTTTTTTTTCTGACAGGGTTTCACTATGTTGGCCAAGATGGTCTCGATCTCCTGACCTTGTGATCCGCCTGCCTTGGCCTCCCAAAGGGCTGGGATTACAGGCGTGAGCTACCGCACCCGGCATTTTTGCATTTTTATTAGAGATGAGGTTTCACCATGTTGGCCAGGCTGGTCTCGAACTCCCAACCTCAGGTGATCTACCTGCCTTGGCCTCCCAAAGTGCTGGGATTACAAGTGTGAGCCACTGAGCCCGGCCTCACATTGAAATTTAATTGCTATTGTAACAGTATAAAGATGTGGGACCTTTATAAGTTGATTAGGCAGTGAGGACTCTACCCTCTTAAATGGATTAATGCTCTTATCATGGGAGTGGGTTCCTTAGAAAGGGACATGTTCAGCATCCCCTTGCTTTCTCTCTCACCTTCCACCATATGATGATATGGCACAAAGGCCCTCATCAGATGCTGGCTCCTTGTTCTTGGACTTCCTAATCTCTGGAGTAGTAAAAAAAAAAAAAAAAAAAATCCTTGTTTTTTACAAATGACCCAGTCTCTGATATTCTGTTACAGCAGTACAGCCTTTTCGGTAGCAGGGGCTGGTTTTGTGGAAGACAATTTTTCCACAGACCCAGCGGTGGTGGAGTGGTGCAGGGGGCAAGGATAGTTTCAGGATGAAACTATTCCACCTTGGATTATCAGGCATTACTTATATTCTTTTTTTTTTTTTTTTTTTTGGACATAGAGTCTCGCTCTGTTGCCCAGGCTGGAGTGCAGTGGTACAATCTCGGCTCACTGCAACCTCCTCCTCCCGGATTCAAGCAATTCTCCTGCCTCAGCCTCCCGAGTAACTGGAATTACAGGTGCCTACCACCACACCCAGCTAATTTTTGTGTTTTCATTAGAGACCAGGTTTCACCATATTGGCCAGGCTTGTCTCCAACTCCTGACCTTGTGATCTGCTCGCCTCAGCCTCCCAAAGTGTTGGGATTATAGGCATGGGCCATCGTGCCCAGCCTACTTAGATTCTCATAAGGAGCATGCAGCCTAGATCCCTTGCATGTGCAGTTCACAATAGGGTTCACGCTCCTATGAGAATCTAATGCTGCTGCTCATCTGACAGGAGGCCTCAGGCAGTAATGCTTGTTCACCTGCCACTCACCTCCTTCTGTGGGGTCCACTCCCTAACAGGCCATGGACCAGGACCAGTCAGTGGCCCGGAAGTTGGGGACCCTTGGTTTAGAGAATTAAAAAGACGGAATTTAACATTTAGCTCATTAAGAGCACATCCCTTAAGCCAAAGTAAAGCAATTATCCATGTGGTTCAGGCAAAAGTTCCATACAATTTTAGGTAAATGGAGAGATTTTTCTGGTTGTAAATTAGAGACAATTTTTCTTTCAGAGTCCAAAGAGTCATGAAAATTAGAATTAGCCTAGAAGACCTCTTAGTGAGTTTTATTTTTTTTTCTGGTTGAAGAATATTACGATGTATTTGTTTAATGCACAGCATACTTTTAGACTCATGTTGAACAAAAATAATAAACTATCAAAAACCATTACTCACTTGGCTGCCTTAGTAGTAAAGCATGTCTTGTCTTACTAGGGTCCCTTTAAAAATGAGATGAAAGGAACTAGGAAAGGAATAAGAATATTGTGGCATTCTTTCCAAAGTAATTGTGCTGAAGTCTCATCAGAGTTTTCAGTTTTCCCACAATGTGTATTTTAACACTTAAAAGTACCTTAAAAAATAGGAGAATCGCTTTAATTCAATAATTTTATTTTCAGAACACTTAATATTTTTCAAATCTACTTGATAAATAATTTAATAAATATAATATAAATAAATATAAGTTCAGATGCGTTCATGATCACAAAGTTATATAAATAAATATTTATAATAAATTATGCTTACATGTTTGTTTCTACAAACGCTTTGGTACAGAAATAGCTTATAAATTCTTGCTCTTCTATTAAAGTGAATGAAAAACATTTTCAGGATGGACATTTTCCCTCCTTAGCAATTTGTTTATGAAAACTTAAACACAATTTATCCACAGTAAATGTGAAAAATACTTGATCAGAGGTATCATGTGAATGTAATAGTCCCATCCTTCAAATTTTGGTGGTACACTATTGTAAATATAAGCATGAGAATTCCTATAGGAGATTAAGTAGGGCCAAGTCAAGACTCCCCCTCCCTAGTTCTTAATCCACATCCTTATCAAAATTTCTTCATTTCAAATTCTCATAAAAATGGCAATGGTCTGGAGGGACCTCGCTTTTTAGGAAGCATTCAGATAGCTCATCACTCTGTCAATGGTCACTGCCCGAATTCTGAAAGCATGAAGAAGTATGCAGAGCTTGGTTTTAGTTCTATAAAAATCCGGTTCTTCAAGGGAGGATTTTTGTGGCACAGTCTCACTGTTGAAATTCAGGGCCTAGGAGAATGAACAGTAAGTGTGATCTACATAGTATTCCAAAATTAAAATATTCATTTATAAAAATGTGTGAAGCCAGTACATGTCTCAAAGCCTGCACCTCAGTCCCTCATTCCACTCCTAAACCCAGCCCAAATCTACTGTCAGCCAGGTGGCCAGGCAGAACCTGAGAAAAGAGATACTCCTTTTCCAAGCACATGCATCTTCCATGAGCTCTGAAAAGATCCTTAAAACTATTTAGAAAAAAATCATCAGTGGGAGTTGTGTTTTAGAAAGGAACAGTTCCTTTATAATGACATCTGTTGCAATATCTAATTAAATTTATATATGTTACATTAAAAAGCCACTTCTGTTTAGCACAGGGAGGTGATGGATTGCTACCAATCACAACTCAGTAACAGGCCTGTTTGCTGAAGACATGCCATTTGTGTCAGATAAATAAACCTGGCAATGGATTTCCCAAGTTTAGCACTCATTTGACAATGCAATATAAAACCTTATATTTGCACCCTTGATGAATAAATACTTTCATATGTTCCTCACTAAAAGTCTGAAAGAAAGCCAGAATAAATAAAGTCACTCCATTTTTTATACAGGAGGAAACTGAGGCACACAGGGGTTAAGTGACTTGGGCATAGTTGTCTGGTTACTGGTAGAATTGATTCTAGCACCCAAATCCCCCAACTCTTGGTCTTAAAAATAAAAGAGCCACTACAGCTCTCTAGATGGTAACATTCTTTGATACTTGTATAAAGCTCATTGCCTTTCAAACAAGTAATCTGGTGTGCGCATGCACGCGTGCGCACACACGCACGCACACACACACACACACACACACACACAAAGAAAAGAATGAAAGTAAATCAGTTACTTTCCAGACAATGATTTCTGTCACTATATTTTTATTCCATGTCCTAGTCACCAAGGCAATCACCCTCTCTTATGTGAATATGTCTGTTTTATATTCGCACTGTGTTATGGTGATTCAGAATGTTACAAAGCAAGCTGTGCCTATGAATAACATTATAGATGCCCCAGATTATAGGTCATTCTTTTATTTGGTTCATAATAGGTCGTAATCAGGCATCAAACCTGCTTGTTTTCCCAGAAATATTTGCAGATGTGCATGCTGGCCCCCTGCATGCACATCCTGGAGCCTTAAGAGATGAGTGAGAAGGTAATTGTAGTGAAATCCTCTTGAAGGATTTTAAGAGGCAGAGCCTCAGACAAGTGGTTTAACTCTCTTAAGGTTTGGTTCCCTCCTTTGTGCAGACCACATGTGGTTGTTTTGAGGCTGACATAAGAAACTGCACAAAAACATTTACAGAGGGTGGGGCATACCACAGAATTGACACTTTGAAGTCTGGTTTTCCTTTTTTTTTTGAGACGGAGTCTCGTTCTGTCAGCAGACTTGAGTGCAGTGGCACAATCTCAACTCACTGCAACCTCCACCTCCTGGGTTCAAGTTATTTTCCTGCCTCAGCCACCTAAGTAGCTGGGACTACAGGCGCACGCCACCGTGCCTGGCTAATTTTTGCATTTTTAGTAGAGACGGGGTTTCACCATGTTGGCCAGGATGGTCTCGATCTCTTGACATTGTGATCTGCCCTCCTCAGCCTCCCAAATGCTGGGATTACAGGCGTGAGCCACCGCGCCCGGCCTAGAATCTGCTTTTGTTAATGTAATCTGGAGTCTGCTGTTAATGTGATCTGCTCACATCTGTACTCCCTGTAGAGGGCACCCTCAAGGCTGTCTCCTTGAAAATTAACATTTAGCTCATTAAAAATACATCTGTTAGGTCTGTTAGGCCTTTAAAAGAGTGGGGGATGGCCGGGCGCAGTGGCTCACGCCTGTAATCCCAGCACTTTGGGAGGCCAAGGCAGGTGTATAACCTGAGGTCGGGAGTTGGAGACTAGCCTGACCAACGTGGAGAAACCCGTCTCTACTAAAAATACAAAATTAGCTGGGTGTGGTGGCACATGCCTACAATCCCAGCTACTCAGGAGGCCGAGGCAAGAGAGTCACTTGAACCTGAGAGGAGGTTGTGGTGAGCTGAGATCGTGCCACTGCACTCCAGACTAGGCAACAACAGCAACACTCTGTCTCAAAAGGAAAAAAAAAAAAGGTGGGTGGGGGAGTGATTCCAAGCCTCTACTAATCCAGAAAGAGCTAATTTTCCACCTCTTCCTTGAGGACCCTGGCTGAAAAGCATGAAAAAGATGCTCTCACTGATAGAATGAAGTCTTACCTGCATCAGCTTGTCAATAACTGCCAGCATGTTTTGATCTAGAAAGATCTGCCTCTTAGGATCCATCAGGAGCTTTGCATTCATGGCCTTGAACTCCACCTGGTACATCTTCAAGTCTTCATAAATACTACTAAGGCACAGGGCCTGGGTGACATGACAAGATGGGGAAGTATCCATTGAGATGGGCGAAAAACATTTCCCCCATTGCATTTGAGGAAAGAGCTGTGTCTTACCATCATAAAAGAGGTCTTTCTGGAGGCCAGGCAACTCCCATTCTAGAAGAAAATATAATCAGACATCAATGGTATGAATTCATCATATGAGCTGAAACCTTTCATTTTTTGACTTACAGTTATAAAAGAGATCTCTCTGGAATTTAGGCAGCTCTCATTCTAGAGGAAAAAAAATCATATATCAAAATATTAATTCTTAGTATAAATCTTTCTGACTTTACAGGTAAAACTTTTTTATTATGGTAAAAACACATATCGTAATATTTACCGTCTTATTTTATTTATTTATTTTTTTAAGAGATAGGGCTTGACCATGTTGGACAGGCTGATCTTCAACTCCTGACCTGTGGTGATCCACCCGCCTTGGCCTCCCAAAGTGCTGGGACTATAGGCGTGAGCTACCACGCCCAGCCCATCTTAACTGATTTTAGGTGTTAAGTATATTCATATTGTTGCAAAAAAAATAATACTGTCTGTTTTTATAATTTTTCTCCAAAACCTAACTTCTGAAGTAGGACCAGTTAAAGTCTCATCATGATGGATACCAGGAATGTGAATTTTTAGAAGCAGGTGAGATTTGCTGCACAGCTTTCAACCGCACTACATGCTTTGGGAGGAAAATCCCCTATACCTTGGTTAATTCCAGTGGTAAACAGGCCTCCACTGTGCTGGTTTTATCTTTTGTGATATCTTCATGATCAATCTCTTTAGAAGTGCAAGGGTAAAATTTTAGAGTTTGTCTGGCCTGTAAGAAATGAAAAAGAAACTCAGTTTATAACATTGATAAGGGACCTGGCACCCTACATTCCTGATACCCCAGGGTGCCAGGCAGGCTCCAGCTGGTTGCCCTTGACCTCTGTCTCTTTGACCTGCAGGAAATTCTGGTTCCTCATAACACAAAAGGAAATAGATTCCTTACATTCTGTCTCTTACCCTCCTCTCCCTATGCTTGGGACATGTTTCTCTGGATGACATATTTTTTCATTATGTAAACACAATAAATCATGTCAACAGCCTAAGCTAACCAGCCTCCATACCACACTGTGACACTTGCTTCTGGTGAAAACTGTTTCTTCTTTTACTAAAGTGATTGTGCTCCATGAATACCTATTTAAAGTATCACTTTGAAAGGGCGAACTGTTAAGGTCACAGCTTGATGGATATAATAAACATGCAAACCCTTAAGACAAGCTGAGACTTAATTTGCAGTGCACACACGCACATACACATACACAGAGATGTCATCTTAAAAGTGTGTTGGAAACCATTCTTATTACCTAAGAAATGTATCTTAGGAAATAAAGGACTTTATGATTGGAGATTATGATCATTTTTCCATTCAACAGCCTGATGGGTGCTGGGCACTCCATTAGGTACTAAGAACATCACAGAGAAGGAAACCATGTATACCCTCCTGGATTCCAAGTTTAGCTGCTGAGACAGACAAGTGCCCAAATGACCAGGAGGCATCAGCAGGCGAGATATGCTGAGAAGGGCATGAAGCTTTGGAGGAGGAGCAGGAAGGGAAGCGAAGTTTCCCAGAGATGGTACATCTGCATTAAGAGGAGTAAAACTGGCCAGGTGTGGTGGCTCATGCCTGTAATCCCAGCTCTTTGGGAGGCCGAGGCAGGCTATCACGAGGTCAGGAGTTTGAGACCAGCCTGGCCAATGTGGTAAAACCCCATCTCTACTAAAAATACAGAAGTTAGTCAGGCGTGGTGGCACTGTCTGTAGTCCCAGCTCCTTGGGAGGCTAAGGCAGGAGAATCGCTTGAACCTGGGAGGTGGAGGTTACAGTGAGCCAAGATTGTGCCATTGCACTCCAGCCTGGGCAACAGAGTGAGACTCTGTCTCAAAAAAAAAAAAAAAAAAAAAAAAAAGGTAAAATGTTGACAATGGAGAAGGGAAATTTCAGACAGAGTTGAAACATGATGAAAAACATGAAACACCATGAGCCAAGAAGCAAGGCCTGAAAATGCAGAATCCATTTGGGCACAAGTAGTAAAATCCCTTTCTATGGTAGGTAGACCAATTCCTCATCTCCAAAGACATCCACCTCCCAATCTCTAGAACTTAGTAATATGCTATGTGACCTGCCAAAGAGGAATTAAGGTGCAGATGACATTCAATTTGCTAATCAGCTGATTTAAGAGTAGAGAGACGATTCTGGATTATCTGGGTGAATCCACTGTAAGCAGTGTCCTCAAAAGTAGAAGCAGGTAGAAGGTCAGTCCAGAGGGAGCAGCATGAGAAAAGACTCAACCAGACATTGCTGATATGGACAATGGAAGGGGCCACAAGTCAAGGAATCTGGGCAGCCTCTAGACCTGACAAAGCAAGGCAACAGATTCTCCCCAAGAGCCTCCAAAAGTGGACTACAGCTCTGTTGACACATTGATTTTAGTACAGTAGGACCCATATTGGACTTGTGACGCCCAGAACTATAAGATAATACATTTGTGTTGTTTAAATCCACTACATTTGTAGTAAATTGTGACAGCAGCAGTAGGAAAAGAATACACTATTCCTGGAGGTGTTTAAACAGACCTGTACAACCCCACTATTCTGAGCAGGTTAAAAAGAGATTTGGAGGTGTGAGTCCAGTGTTGTTCTTCAGGTCTTTTTAAGAGAAGCTAGAAATTTGAAATCTTAATTGAAATGTCTGGTTTTTGAATGGCATCAAAATAAAAAATAAACGTAAAGCCCAAACTCTACCAACCTGGATATGGTCTGTAGGTTGGATACGGTCTGTGAATCACAAGCATCTACCTCCTTTGTTTTCTACTGCAGCAAATTTGATAAATAAATGATGCACAAAACATAAAATTGATTTCTATATTCTTTTGACCCTTAGGACTCTATCTGGGAATAGAGGCATCAGCTTTTGCATACAATACATCTATATGAATTGGAACACGTACAGTTTACCCATTTTGAACCTTTCTTCAGGAAACAAAGCAGTTTTCACCTGAGCCCCGTGTCCAATTAAGATTAATTGAATTGTGAGGAGCAAAGCACAGCCCATTATGAAAGATTAAAAGGGAAAAAGAGCCCCTTAAGAAGGTTTGGTGGCACTGAGCTTATTTTAAGATATTCATAAGGCAACAAGCTAGAAAATACTCAAGAAAGATTTCCTAGAGAGCAGACAGGCAGAGGACATCTTTTAAAACACTAGCCTTTAGCCTTTGCAGCAATAACTATTGGAGCAGTTTTTAAAGGCAATGTTTTTTGCATTAAAATATGAAACCTAAAAAAAATTGAACAGAGCTGTAAGCAAAATTAGGTAACTCTTCCCTAGAAAATGAAGACTACATGTGCACTGTCACAGTCCTCCCTGAGACGTATTGCTCCGAGGAGGACCTGTGTCACCAAGCAGAAGCTGGTGGGCAGCAGGAGGGACAAGGCTATTTCATCTTCATACCCCCTGCCCCCCACAACACAGAGTATGCTATTTCCGGGATTGATCAGTGGTGTCAGAGAAACCGTGTGGACCTGACACAATTCTCTCTCTGTTGGCAGGCTACTGGAACACTGTAAATACCCACTTTACTCTGTGTAGACACAACCCAAATCACCATCATTATAATTTATTACTACTCTTACTTTCTCTGGAGACACAATTTCACCAGGACTCTTTAACACTTGGGCCATTTGTAAAGTTCCCTTTCCTGCTGTTGATAGCTACTAATGAACTTCCACAATTTCTCTGCAGTTCCATCAGGTGCCAGAGGATAAGACCAGAGGCTCCTTCCTCAGGGAGGGTGCAGGTGCACAGTGAAAAGGACAGGAAAAACTCACCGTCTGGAGCATGCTGCTGACGGCCCTTAGCAGGGTTTGGGAGTGGTGAAGGCACGGGAACATTCTTGGGTCTGGGGTGGCCACGGGGAGGTTTCTGGCCAAGCTGAGGCAGTCCAGGAGGACCAGAGTGGCCACAAGGAGGAGGCCTGGAAGGGAAGGGAAAGGGCAGGAAGAGGAGCTTCAGCCTGGATGGGCTGCCTGCACCACCTTTCCTCCATTCTGGCCACCCTCACCCATCCATTTCTGCTTGGCACTCCCTCATCCAAAGACATCCTCCCTCCACCCATTTCCAACACTTTTCCTTCAACACCTGAAAGATGGCTTAAGTTGTTACTAAGCACCACTCTATTCTAGGGCTAGAAGCCAGCTCCCTGTGAGGGTCTGGGGATGAGCTTGGACATGAGTGTTGAACCCTGTGCTCACCCAGAGAAAGCCTCCATGCTTTGATCAGGGAAATCCAGACCAGGTGTGGCTACGTCAGACTTGGGACCCAGTGTTTTAAAAAGAGGGGTGAGAAAGCCTGACTTGTTTGTTGTTGTTTTTTTTTTTTTAAGACGGATTCTTGCTCTGTGGCTCGGGCTGGAGTGTAGTGGCATGATCTCGGTTCATTGCAACCTCTGCTTCCTCGGTTCAAGCAATTCTCCCTGCCTCAGCCTCCCGAGTAGATGGGATTACAGGCACCCACCACCACAATTGGCTAATTCTTTTTTTTTTTTCTTTTTTTTTCTTTTTTTTTTTTTTTAGTAGAGACAGGTTTTTGCCATGTTGGCCAGGCTAGTCTTGAACGCCTAACCTCAGGTGATTCCCCGGTCTGGGCTTCCCAAAGTGCTGGGATTACAGGCATGAGCCATTCACCTGGCCAAGCCTGACTTTAGAGCTGGCTAGGATCTGCCTTCTACTTGTAGCTAAGGGACCCTAGGCAGGAAGGCAGGAAATCTTCCACGCTGGACCTCAGTTTCTCCTCTACGAGTGGGCATAATGATAGCTCATCAGGCTGTTTGGAGATGAAAAGAGACTTGTCTGTTCAGCGCATGGTGAGACCCCTATTTATTCCTCTACAGGAGACGGCTGCTGCTGTTCCCGTCTCTCCTTAGGCAGACCCGTGTTTCCACCCCCTCTTCCCAGGCAGCTGCCCCTCCGCACGGAGCGAGCGGGAGCCGGGGCCGGCTGGGTACTCACTGCGCGCTGGGCACATGCTGGGCCGGCACTGCAGGGACACTGGGCGAGCCGCTGGATGCTGACCTGTGGCCGCGGCAGGTGAGGTCGGTGGCTGCAAGGCTGGCCCAGGGGGCCACAATTTTATAACTGTCTCGAGGCGCGGCAGGACTTTCCCGGGACTCTGGTCTCTTGCTTTCTCTCTCTCTCTCTACATCAGCTTCTCGGTGACACGTGCGGCCCGGCCGGCCCGTGGGGTTTGCGGCGCTTTCGGATTAACTCCCGGGGTGCCCGGCCGCAGCCGTTTTGGGACGGCCCCGCCACCTCTAGCTCCGCCCAAAGTGGAAGCGAAATTTTAGCAGTTACTGCGCGGGGTCCACGGGCGGGCGGGACACCCCGCCAGCCACCCTGGGCCCCGGCCTCTGCCCGACGCCCGTCGTCTCAGCCACCCGCCCCGCAGCCGTGCAGCGCCCCCTGCCGACGCAGTGAGAGGAGTGCCAGCCGCTGTCCGTGTCCTGCGTAGGGATGGGCCCTAACCACGACCTCCAGCCTAGTTCTGGAAGGGGTGGGGAAATCATTCGTTCATCATTCATTCCTTCAGATGGCTCACTGATGCTAGGCCGACGTTGCGCCGGGCGCAGAACACCCAGGGAGAACAGGACCCTTAGGGACACTGTCACACTAAATCAGACTCAATGCGTTTTGTTCACGGGTCTTTTCTGAGACCTGAAAAGGGATGAGAGCTGGCTGTGTGGGAAAGAACGATGGGATAAATGCACAGGGTCCTGGGAGGAAAGACCTAGAGAAAGAGTCCATGCTCAGCCGGAGCAAGGGGGTCCAGGAGGCAGCAAAGCCTCCCAGGGGCCACAACCTGAGTGTTAAAAACAAGCAGGCATTAGACAGCTTCCAGCGGGATGGCATGCGGGTCTAGCCAGGGGAAACAGGGATCAGAGCCCAGTCATGGAGGGTTGAGGGAGGTGGGGGTCTGGGTGTCCTTGCAGAGTGTGAGGTGGGAGAGCTGGATGGGGCCCTGCCATGAGGACAGGGAATGCCATACTAAGGAGTGTACCTTCTGTGCTGAGAGTAGTGGGGAGTCGTCCTGGTTTTTTGTTTGTTTTTGAGATGGAGTCTCATTGTCACCCAGGCTGGAGTGCAATGGCATGCTCTCAGCTCACTGCAACCTCTGCCTCCCAGGTTCAAGCAATTCTCCTGCCTCAGCCTCCAGAGTAGCTGGGATTACAGGCACATGCCACCACACCTGGCTAGTGTTTGTATTTTTTTTTAGTAGAGACAGGGTTTCACTATGGTGACCAGGCTGGTCTTGAACTCCTGACCTCACAATTTGCCTGCCTTGGCCTCCCAAAGTCCTGGGATTACAGGGGTGAGCCACTGCCTGGTTTTCCCAGGTTTTAGGCAGGAAGATGTGGCAGACTTTTCATGATGGGAGGATCCTTCAGCTGCAATTGAAGGATGGATCCAGGGGTCAGGAGTGAAGCAGAGGAACCCTTGACAAGGTCAGCCAAGTCCTTATTCAGTATGGAGAACACAGGGTAGGCAGGAGGGACTCTCGGGGGCCTGTGAGCCAAGACTTGGTAACTCCTCAGGAGAGAGGGAGATGAAGGCCCTGAGAATGGGAAATGGAGGTTGTTCTAGCTCCGGCAGCAGGGATTACTGTACAAGAGGACTGAGTTTGGAGGAGATGGTGAGAAGTTCCATTTTGGATGTGCTGCGTTTGAGGTTCCTGTGGGACTTTTTAGTTCACTTATTTTTCCCACAGGCGTTAGTCACCCTGGTCGTGGGTAGCGGGGAAAATGTGTTTGGTATCTGACTTGGAGCTTCCAAAGGGCTTAACTACACCCAGGCTCCAGGACCTAATAACTGGAGCTGCCTTTTAGGTGGCTCATCTGCTTGAAGCTGATGAAGCACCACCATAGGGAGTTTTAGGCGTCTGTAAAATAAGAGAGATGGCTGATCTCTAGGGCCCCTTCTAATGCTGTCCGTGAATTCCCCCATGGGGACACAGAGCAATCCATTGTCAGAAACAATTACATTTAGCAGTTTGTGTGAAGAAAATGACAGGTGCAGAACTGTGTTGTGGCCACAGGGATTTAGTGTGGAGTTGAATGTATTTACAGTCGGGATGAAGACAAGTGTGTCACATCTGAGCTGTTTCTCCCCTGGAAGGGCCATCTCCTATTGAAAAGTAATTTCTATTGCTTAGATGAGCACAGGGTCACAGTTAAAAATGAATTCTTCGCCACCAGACACACTTTCTTTTTCTTTTCTTTTTTTGAGATGGAGTTTTGCTCTTATTACCCAGGCTGGAGTGTAATGGCGCGATCTCGGCTCACCGCAACCTCCGCCTCCTGGGTCCAGGCAATTCTCCTGCCTCAGCCTCCTGAGTAGCTGGGATTACAGGCACGTGCCACCATTCCCAGCTAATTTTTTTTGTATCTTTAGTAGAGACGGAGTTTCACCATGTTGACCAGGATGGTCTCGATCTCTTGACCTCGTGATCCACCCGCCTCGGCCTCTCAAAGTGCTGGGATTACAGGCTTGAGCCACCGTGCCGGGCATCACACTTTCTAACTCATATTTTTTGTGAAACAGTTTCCTGATATGCTCCATGTACTCTAGCTAAGGAGAAACGGAAACTCATCGAGGAGTATGTGATTTTTCCATAAGCGACATTCTTTGTCCACAGTCACTATTTCACAGTGTGCAGCATTGTCGTGGAGGTCTCAGCCAATGATATGAGGAAAGAAAAGGAAATTAGACATTTAAACATTGGAAAAGAAAAGGTAAAACTGTCACTATTTACAGTTGATACGCAAAAAGAAAAAACAAAATTCATAGACTATTAGAACTAAGAAGAGAATTTAACATCACTCAATACACATGTCAACCTTAAAAAAAGCAAGCTATTTTCTTTGTATCTGGAGCAACCCATCAGAAAATATAATAAAAACAAGATGACATTTACAGAAGCAGCTAAACTATGAAGTAACTGATTATAGCTACAGAGGCAGTGTAATGGCTAAGAGTATGGTCTCTAAAAGATGTGAATCCATGTTCTGCTACTTACTTGCTGTGTGTTCTTAGGTGAGTTGTTTATCTCTCTGGGCTCAGTTTCCTCATCTGTTAAATGATGATAACAAAAGTACCTACAATATAAAGTTACTACTGTTACTACATGAGCTGGAATAACTACAGAACAGTCTTTGGAGAAAAATTTTAAAGTTCAGTCAAGCACATAGTGTGATTTAATTAAATAATTCTATACCCTTGGCTGATAGGTTTCTCTACATGGAAAGCTTAAGTCTCTTATGATTAATTCATATGCTCAACGTAATTCCAATACAAGCTACAAATAAATTTTCTCAGAAACTTAGTAATAAACCTACTCTAAAATACAGATGTAAGAGCAAAATCTATGACTATCTAAGTTAAAACATTTTTTTGGAGACGTGGTTTTGCTGTGTCACCCAGGCTGCAGCATAGTGGTGGCACAGTCACACTCACGGCATCCTTGACCTCCTGGGATCAAGCCGTCCTCCTACTTCAGCCTCCTGAGTAGCTGGGACAACACCACCGGGTCCAGCTAATTTTTATTTTTATATTTTGTAGAGGCAGAATCTAGTTTTGTTGCCTAGGCTGGCCTCAAACTCCTGGGCTCAAGTGATCCACCCACCTTGGCCTCCCATAGTGCTGGGATTACAGGCATGAGCCACTGTGCCTGGCCTTAGGTTAAAATGCTAAAGGAGTAATGAAAAGGGGGACTAACCCTACCGCATATAGACCTAATTTAAAGCCATGGAGATAAAAGTAGTGATATTGGCAACACATCAGGTGTATGGACCATTGAAACAGAGTAGAGAAATTAGAGACAGATTTGTATATTTGGGTATTAAGTATAAGATAATACAGATGACCCCCAGATCAATGAGGAAAACATGCAGTATTTAGCAGAAAATGCTCAGTGGGCTGGGCACAGTGGCTCACACCTATAATCCGAGCACTTTGGGAGGCCAAGGCAAGTGGATTGCTTGAGCCCAGGAGTTTGAGAACAGCCTGGGCAACATAGGGAGACCCCTTTTCTACAAAAAATACAAAATTTAGCCGGGTATGGTGGCACATGCCTGTATTCCCAGCTACCAAGGAGGCCGAGGTGGGAGGATCACCTGAGCCCGGGAGTCAAGGCTGTAGTGAGCCATGACTGTACCACTGCACTAAAACCTGAGGAACAGAGTGAGATCCCGTCTTAATTTAAAAAAAAAAAAGAAAAAAAAAAGAAAGAAAGAAAGAAAAAGAAAAAGAAAAGAAAAAAGAAAGAAAAAGAAAAAAATAGGGGGAAGGTGTCCAGATTTGTTTTGGAATTCAAAATACTTGGAATTTAGAAATGGAAGAGGTGCACAGAGACATTGACAGTTACTTACTCTAAATACCAATCACAATATCCCCAAACCCACACTACCCCATCCCTTGCTCTGATTTAGGCCAATCTGGAAAAAATAAAAGTGGAAACATTTACATAAAAAAAAAAAGAAAGAAAAGAAAAGGAAGAGGTGGTATCACATGATCAAGCACAATAACTCTGCAGCAAAATGTAGGAATAGTTACATCAATTGGCAGAATAACCTCAGGTAACCTCATTTCGCTTTGGTCAGATTTTGCTGCTAAATGAATTTAAGGGAAAACTTTTGGTGTCCAGAGCTGTGTAAGTTTAAGAATAGTGAGTAAGTGATTGTGGAACTCTGTTGACTTCAATGAGAATGATATCTTTAAAATAGCATACATTATACAAAGACAAAAACACAAGAATATATGTTATACACATTAGGATAGGTCTCACTGGGGAGTGAGGGGAATGAGAACGAGGAATAGGGATAATGAATGTATATAAATACATATATATATATATGGATGTATGTATTTGATGGGGACAAATAATGTCATGTATTAAAGAATATGGTCCACTCCATCCTCTTCATCTGAAGTCCTTTGTCCAAAAGATAGACAAATAGACACCCTTTCTAAGCAGATGACTCAAAGTTGCTGCTTGCAAACTTCAATTGCCAATTGGTACATTCAGATAGCTTTTATGTTAGTTATTCCTTTCACATTGAATTTGAGATATGAGTCAATCAGGCATCTTTCATCACCGAGAGACAAGGGTCTTTTTGAAAACTTGACAGAATATATTAAAGGTCTATTTCTGTGGTTCTCAGTTGGTGATGATCTTGCTCCCCAGGGGACACTTGACAATGTATGGGGACATTTTGAGT